TGCCGGCTTATCAGAAGTAAGCTGCAAGGGCAGACATACCACACTTCTACCATAATAACTATGGTACCTGAAAGGGTCTTCAAAATACTGAATACCAAACATGGGCAAAAAGGCCATAAGGAAGCCAATTGCCCATATGATGATGCATAGGATATGTGTTGCCTTTGGTTTCAGAGAAGCACCCTGATAAGGAAACACAATATTTTTAAGCCGATCAGCAGATATCAGAGTCATCATCATAACCGACACCTCACTTGACAAGAGGGAGATCGCTCCAATTATTTGACAAGACAAACCAGACCTCCACTGGAAGTCATGCAAGTAATACTCTCCTCTCCACAACAGATCTTTAGTGCCAATAGAGACCAGGTAAATACCCATCAAACCATCGGACACTGCTAAGTGGAGCAACATGATAGACTGAACCACGTTCTTTTCTTTAAAGATTACTCGCCACGTGATAACAAACACTGCACCAACCAGAGAAAAGATTCCTATCGCCCAGATACTCTGTCTCGGGGCAGCATTCTTAAACATGCTCTCACAGTTAGCAAAGTCGTCGTTATCAATGAAAGCACATTCAGCGTCCTCCTTGTGCATATGACAACACATCAGATTTGTGTCCAAACTCCTGCAACCGTAAAATTTGATGCTATTCAGTTCATAAGGATAAAGTGAAAGATAAAACCAAAAGCCTATACCCTAAGAGCACAAAGGTTACGCGAGATCAGTCCATCATAATTTATTTCCTCATATGGGGGTTTTTGTGACTATGAATCTTCATTGAATATGTTCGAAAATTTTTCTTGCAATATTATAATTACCCAACAAAATGGAGTTGTTATAAAAGTCGTCGATAGGGTAAGAATACCGACCATAGATATTTAGTAAAGTATAGAAACCACTAACTCATTTGCCTAAAGCTCTGGGCTAGTAAATATTTGAATTAAAGGAACCCCTAGACGCTTTCTGTAAATGTATCAAATAAGTCACATCAAAATCTTACACTCGTACTATATCCTTCAACTCTTTAAAAAATCCGTAGGGAATCTCCCTCATGTGGTTATAATGCAAATATCTGAAAATTAGATATTTAAAGACAAGAATATAAGGATGAAATCAGTGAATAGAAGAGCATTTCTGGAGTATTGCTTCAAACTTAGTATATCGATTTGTGCCTTTTTTAACTCACAGATACGCGATAGCATAGAAACGAGTTGTTGTGGGCACTTTAGGATATGCAAATTAGCTTGGGCTCTACGTTATTAGTCGCAATTAGTCGCTCCGAATTCGAAATCTATACTTCCGAAGAAGTCCGAAGTCCTGACGCCATTGTGATTGCATCAATCGCTGCAAAGTTTATTGTCTTGACACGGCTGTTTCGACATTTACTAAATTGAAATGGACTTCGAATGTTTCAGATTAGTGCTAAGATCAATTTCAAGACCAAGTACGAAGGGTTTTCGAATCGTCCATGCGCTAAACATAACTAGGAGCAGCGAGAATCACGAAGAGTTAGTGAGTGACAGAACAAGCTGCTGACATGGAAATTCCCACGGATACATGTACTCATGACAGAATTAAAATGTTAATTTATAGTATTATTTCTTTCGTT